GCAAAAAACAAAAACATTCAGTGAGCGGCAGTTCTGTGGGCGGAAACACCTTGTTGATGAGAGGGGTCAGACCAGAACGGCCAGACTGGTTGAGCTGACAGGAAGGCTACAGTAACTCAAATAAACACTCTTTACAACCATGGTGAGCAGAAAAGTGTCTCTGAATGGCCAGCATGCCGAACCTCGATGCGAACGAGTTACAACAGCAGTGGGCACAGGCTCAGCGAATCAGGACGTTTGAATATTGGAAATAAACATCGCCTGGTCTTTAATAGCTAATATCAGTGCTAAAATTTCATTTTCTTGCTGCATGGTAGGCGTTTTTCTACAGAGCAAAACTGAAAATTGCTGATTAATCAGATTTCACAAACAACTAAATCTGCTTGGAATTTTAGAGATAAACCTGTGTTTATCTAATGCGTAATTTAAAAAAAGTTTATTTCATGTAAGAAGTACAGCAACGCAAAAGCAGTAATGAAAGAGATGAATTGAGTCTTTCTCCATGTTGGCCGTGTTGCGGTATTGTTGCCATGTGCTGAAATATCTTACACAATCTGCGTCATTTATGTTATTTTAAACCCTACCTATTTAGAAATGCTTTAACACCAGTGTTTAGTGTTCGCTGCCATAATCGCTGACATGTTATGAGCTTTGATGTGATCTGTTTAACTATTTTTATTAAGAATAAAATGTAATGCTTATTTATTACTATTATTATTATTATTGTTATTATTATTGTTATTATTGTTTCGCAAAATTTTAGCGCATACCTGCAGTGTGGTGGAAATTCAAAGCAGAAACTCATCCAGGAAATGTGTAGATCGATTCAGGAGAGCTCAGGAAGTCTTTACTTCCGCAAGAAAGTTCCGGATCCTCAGTGGGCATTAACCAGTTTTTCTTTTTTGCTGTGCTAACCATAATCATGTCTCTTCCCTTTACAGCTTTGGGACAGAAGGGGGTTGAAGTGCCGGTCAGTCGAGCGGATAATAAATAAGTCCGCATCAGCTCAGGCATCCCAGTGTGTCCTTCTATGTATGTGCCTAGCCATGCTGCTCTCTGAACAGCTGTTTTCATGGGAAGACACGAGGAGCTGGACAAGCAGTAAAGCCAATGCAGGCAAAGAAAGAAAAAGAAAAATCCCTACTCCTGTTGGCCTGGGACTGAAAATTCAGATACACTTTAGTGAGAATTTATGGACGTTGGATGGAGAAGGGTTCAGGCTGATTACACCGATGACGGCTACTGAATGGAGGAGCAGTGAACTCTGTCAGTCAGATTCAGCTTGGCAACTACTGAAAAGCTCAAACTTGAGAATATTACACGAATAAAATTGCCAAAATGTATTACAAAATGATCACTACTGTACTTCTGCCCTTATCTGTAAGTACCTTTTTTTTTTTTTTTTTTTTTTTTTTTTTTTTTTTGGTATAGTAATAAATCAGATTCTCTATGCTTCTTATATGAATTAGCACTTCCTTGAGGAGAAGACGACACCCCTTTCAGTAGTTACGCTCTGACTCCTTGGGGTTGGAAGGAGAAGAGGAAGTGATAAGTGACTTGCTGACTTGGTCCTGACTATATCATAAGCTGAAGTTAAGCAGTGGTCATGTTGAGCAGTGTTATTGTCCCCCGCAGTGAACTACACCTACTCCGACACCCAGATAACACAGTGGAACTTTACACTCCAGACATTGTAGAGTGAAGAAAACCTTATGACTGCTGGTACCAAGCTTGGTCAGTTCCTCAGCGTCGAGGATTAGACATGCCTTGTCTAATACACACTGGTGTCTAATCTGCAGAACATGTGTAAGACTGTACAGCAGGAGGGTGAAAACAGGGTTCAATGACTGTGATTTTTACGTGTACGGATGTGTTTTATAGTGAGAATGTTAGCCATGATGTCATGGCTATGTCTGCAATGTTTTTCTAAACTAAACGGCCTTCTCTTGTTAGAAAGCACAGACAGAGTGAAGTGTGCTAAGGCCACTCTGTGTTTTAATGGCGAAGCACTTAACTGAGTCACCTTTAAAATTAGGGAGCTGACAATCTCTTATTAAACAAATCAAGAAAGTACTAATTTGGACCACAGAGAACATCTTCATCTAGAATAGTCTGTCTGTTTTATGCTTACGTTTCCCAAAAAAAACAGTACAATGATAATAAAGACATAAACCCATATAAAAGGGTTTATCTATCTAAGTGGAGAGTTTTCCTGCATAGCCACTGGAGTCCAGGTGAGACAAACGAGAGTACACATTGAAACAGGTCCCACGATACAGTCACCCAGACTTGATTTTAGCATCATCAGCTAAACAACAGGGTCACATGATCAGACAGGTTTAGTCTTTCACCAGTAGTGCACATGCCTTATATTATCATTCTCACAACATTCCTGTTGTGTACATTTTTAAAGATGTTTCCAGGTGAAGAAAATGAGAATGTCATTAAATGACCAATTCAGTTCAAGTCAAATTAAATGAAATAACTGGTTAAAATAACCTTATTATAGAATAACCTTATTCCTCTGGATAATAAAGTGAATTCTTCTTAAACCTGAATTGGATAATATTGCAAAACTAGACTCGTATTATGATGGAGTGGGAGAGGGAATGGGCTTTTCTGTGTTCATCAGATGATAGCAGATGGTAAGAGAAGTCATTAACAAGCACTTTATTGTGGATGATGTCCTATTAAAATATGATTGCTGTTGAAAATGATCAGTAAATGCAATATACAATTTTAAAACAATATACAACAGAAGTATTTGCTTAATTTTTCTGAGTTTGCAGTATTTAATTAAAACATGTCTGATTTTGTACATTTTAACTTCTGTGCCTTATATTGTATGATGCTGTTTAGAACTGTTACAGTGCTTAAACAGTTTTTATTTCATTTAAACAGGTGTTTTTTTTTTTGTAAATCATGGATGCATGTGTAAATAAGGGAATGCAGTTCACACATTTGTTTATTGTGTAAGTGCACATTCATTTGTAAGAATTCTGAACGAGGAAATATTTCCAATGGTGACAGTCTTTTTTTTTTTTTTTTTTTAATCTCAAAGTTAAAAGTACTTAAACCTTACTGAAGATAAACTTTGATTTATCTTAAGAGAGCTCACTTCTCCTAAACATTCTCTTAAATCCCATTATGAGAAAAGATGCTTTAATGAACATTTATTTAAAAAAAAACAAATGAGGAAAATGTAAGTCGACACTAACAGATTGCTGAATGTTTTCTGATGCGTTTCTTTTTAGCTGCCTGTTTGAGACTTTGATCAAATTAAGTTCATACACTCAGTTCAGACATAAGAAATTGATTGAATAATGTTCTAAGAAGCGTAATGTAATAGCGAAATCTCAAAATAAGCTAGACGGGACATTCTGATCCAAAAGATGGACTACAACGTACAAAAAAGACTGTCAAAGGAAATAACAAGATATATAATTCATATTCATTTTTATTCTGTTAAGGCTTGGGTTAGATGAGCCAGCAGCACAGGAATGAAATCTGATCGACTGTTTTCTACGTAGTGTTGTTTACCTCATTTTTTTTTCAGATGATAGACATAGACGAGAAGAGATGAACTTGAGATAGCCTTAGAGGAATTTAAGACCTAGTGTTTTCATCAGACTGAGACAATCCACTGATTGTTTTTTCAGGAGCTTTTTTTTTTTTTTTTTTTTTTTTTAATGTGGAAAAAAATTGATAAAATCTCATTTCCATTGATAAAAAAAAAGAAACTATGTCAAATCCTCTCAAGGAGGAGGAAATGGGGTTAAGAAAATATAAATTAAATGTAATTGGACTCGGTAAACAATATATTTTTTTTCATCAGTGCTAGTGTTTAGAAAAGTTTTACATAGTTGTTATGGCTACAGGACAGTTCATATGTAACTGAGCAATGACAGTATCATTTGGCTCTGTACTCCAGCAGTTCTGATTAGAATTCTGATGAGCATGAAGAGGCATAAAATTCATAAATGTGCAATGCACAGTTAGTAAACCACTAGGTGCTTTGCTTGATGGAAATGAGAGAAGAAAGGTTCCTGTCATACTCGAACTGGTGGAGGTTTTGTAACTCTTATAATGATTAATCAGTTAGGGAGAGATAGTTCTAGATGAGTGAAACATTGCTTGTCTTAGCCGTAGCGTGCAGCAGGAGGTTCGGCTTCTGGAATGTGTCAACAAACAGGAAGTGTTTTTCCTTATCCGGTCTGAGCACCAACAGTGAGTGGAAATTTCCTGGTCCTTCATCATGCTGTCTCTCTCTCTATCTCTCTCTTTCTCTCTCTGTGTGTGTGTGTGTGTGTGTGTGTGTGTGTGTGTGTGCGCGCGTGTGTATGGCCTTGCCTGTTCACTCAAGGTACTTTCCCAGGTTTTAACTGGGATGTTATTCAATGCTGCCCTCAAACATGTTGAATATGTATGAGAAGGAGCGGGTGAACACGTAGGCTGGATTAAAAACAGCACTCTCAGCAAATCAGCAGTGGCTTCAGTGACTGTATTAAATTCACGACATATAAAATTACAATAATAGATTATTATTAATAGATTAGCGTTAATATAATGTCCTTTTTGTTTTTTCCCTAATACACGAGATATGTGTTGATTCAGTAACAGGAAGGGCATGTGCAGACCCTGAGAAACTGGACAGAAGTTTAAGAGAGGGAGAGAGAGAGAGAGCAGCTAATGACGTGTTACAAGTGCAGTCACATACTGTTCTTAAGACAAGAATAAACCCCATGTGGTCACTTACAGCGCACACACACACGTCCTTCAAATTCTGCCTGTTCCCTCTACACTATCCCTACTGCTCCATTATCCACATTAATAAAAGATTACAGTCTGAAATTAAACACATCTGTCACTGTCGTAAACATGATCACAGTTTCCTTTCATTTACGGCATTTGGCAGACACTCTTACCCAGAGCAACTTACATTTATCTCATTTTTTTATACAACTAAGCAGTTGAGGGTTAAGGGCCCAGCAGCGGCAGCTTGGTAGTGCTGGGGGTTGAACTCATGACCTTTCCATCAGTAGTCCAATGGCTTAGCCACTGAGCTACCACTGCCCACTGAGCTACTGAACAACATTTTCAGGCTAGGTTGCTCAGTCAGAAGCATATCAGCTTTAGTATGGTGGTAGTCTCAGTGGGTAAGGCTCTGGTCAGAAGATTGAGGATACTGACAAACTGCCACTGTAGGGGCCTTAAGCAAGGCCCTTAACCCTTATCTGCTGCAGGGGTGCTGTATCAGAACTGACCCTTTGCTCTGACCCCAGCTTCCTAACAAGCTGCGATATGCAAAGAGAATTTCACTGTAATGTATATGTGACAGATAAAGGCTTCTGTTCTATTCTGATGATCTCAAACTCACATTTGCCTCTTTAAATTTGCATATAAAAGGCTGAGCAAAGCTGTCTATGATTAAGAGAAAACAGTTGACTCTGGGATTTTTGGGAATGAGCAACAATGATTGTATAATGTCTATTAAAATACATAAGCGCAATCAGGGCCATAATAACAAGTTTAAAATGTCTGAAAAGTTTTTACCAGGAATTGTTTGCATAAGCATACTGACCCACAGAAAGAAGAGCCCGAAGTTTATGCATTGTGTGCTCTGTGATTGGCCTGCACTGTGGCGTGACAATGTGGAATAAGACTTGGGAGTTACATAGCTCTACACATCAAAGATGTGTATTCGTTTCCTTCACACACTTTTCATACACACACACACACACAATTGCTGTTTTCCCATGACTCCCTGACTTCCTCCCTGTGCTCCTCACGCTAAAGGACCATCAGGTAGGACAGGAGTGGTGGCCAAAGAGCGCCAAGAAGCAGACAGAGACAAAGGGCTCCAGTACAGAGAGGCAGGCAGGAAGAAGCTACACACTTACCTAAAAAAACACACACAAACACACACACACTGTTGCTCTCTCTCTCTCTGTCTCTCTCTCTCTCTCTCACTCACTCACACACACATGGGTACACAAGACCATGTTTTTCAAGCGTGCACAGACACCGAGCGTCACAAACAGATATAAAGGTTAACAGTGACACAAACATTCTTTCTCTTTTTGTAAATAACCAGCACGTATGCTCCAAAATAGCCCGTGCCTTATCTGTGTGTTTTCAAATGTAGTGTGCAAATAGGAATGTGACCTGGGGATGACCTGAACAGTCAATATCTAAACAATGATAAAGCATCACTGATGATTTTTGATTGACCTATACTCCAAAAAACAAAAGGTCCAAAAAAGGGTCAAAACCGCTGTTCGATTCAAGGCAAGACACCAGAGGTAAATAGCATATTTTTTTTTTTTATCTTTTTTTATCTTACTATTATTTTGTATTTAATTTTTTTTTTTTTTTAAAAATGCACATGCTTCATATAATTAAACACACAGAAATCTGCATACTTAGAAAATCAAAAATCTAGTCTTTTGATGTTAGGATTAATTTATTTCACTGTTAAGACTCCCGACAGAAATGCTTGTATGGAAATATTTGTTGAAATATCATTTCTTTAATGCTGAATCAAGAAAATACCATGCACTGTTCTAAAAGAAAATTCAGTATAGAATCTAATGTAAATCCAACAGTAATCACCATATTAGGAAATTCCTGTGTAATATCATTCTAAATAGGGATAGGAGTGAATGTGCGATTTCTTGAATGCAAGTCATCTTAAAACAGAGATTCTGGGTTCTGAAAATAGAAAAAAAAAATTCGATAAAGTGTTTTAAAATTACAGCGTGGTTTAATGTGTTTGCACTCTAATTAGTCAGGTTTATAAGGTTTATAAAGGAAATTGTGTATATTATATTGACACTTGAATGGATATACAGGGAAACAAGTTTTTCAAAGTGAGCAAGACTAAAACCTTCTTCAAAGTTTCAGTGGTCACAAGTGGACAAAATCCACTGTGAAATAAACATTTTCTGTTGTGTTTTGATATTTTATTACTACAGTCTAAGAAGATTTTTTTTTTTTTTTTTAACCAGTAGTGCTCTGTGGATCGTGGGTGTTGTACACTTTTCTGGCTTCAAGCCTTCAGCATCTAAAATGTTGTCACCAAAGGAAAACAGACATGAATGCCATGGCACAAAAGAATTTTCAAAGAAAGATACAGTCAATGGTCTTTTATTTATTTATTTATTTAAAAAAGGTTGTTTACAATACATTTGTTTGAAGAAATGCCAGGGAAACATGATATTTTGGTGAATTTTCTGATGGGCTTTGTTTAGTCATTTTGTTAGGTTTCATTTGAGATATTATTCTATAGCAGCAGATAAAATGCTGAACCATGTTAGGAGGAAAGCAAACCCAATTAACAGTGACTGTTATAATGTATAAATCAAAGTCTGAGGAAATAGCTGCTCTGCTTCTAATTAAGTATCTGAATATCGCCATGACTTTTACAGTCTCTTTGGAATGGATTTTGCCTACTATAATATCCCTTGGAAAAGAGTATTGATTTATACTTTAAATGACTTTTGGCTAATAAACTGCATGATGGATCATACACATTAATTAATACATTTTATCCATGTAAAAGGTCTAGATTTCAAGAGTAAAAGCAAAAAGACATAAATTAAGTGTACATTTTGTGAGGTACCACAGGCCAGATGTTCTTGCTTTGATAAAAACCCTATCTTCAGTCATCTAGACAAAGATCTATAATGTGTACATGTATTAAACATATATCATTCGAATGCCATGGTTAATTTATTTACCAGAGAAAATCCACACTTCTAGGAGACCTGCATAAATTTCAGCCTAAATTTCCTTGCCAGTGCTTATTTTGTTTAGCTGGTAAACAGCGCCACCTAGTGGACGCACTGTTTATTTTAAATAAGTTTAATTAATGTGATCATCTGAGTTTCTCCTTATGAGAAACTCCTTCAACTTATGTGTCCGTAGAATGGCATTACGCACTCAGCGTCCACTTTAATAGGAACACCTGTACACTTGCTAATTTATGCAGTTCAGAATCAGAAGAGCTGAAAACTTGAAAACAACCACGTGATTTTTTTTCCCTCCCTAATCTTCAGCTGTCCAGTTTGGGTGAGCCTGTGCCCATGATAGACTCAGATTCCTTTTTCTTGTCTGATAGGAGTGAAACCTGATGTGGTCTTCTGCTGTTGTAGCTCATCCACCTCAGGGTTTGATGTTTTGCACATGCTGAGATGCTTTTTAACTCAACACTGTTGTAAAGAGTGATTACTTGAGTTACTATATTCTTCCTGGCAGCTCAAACCTATCTGGGCATTCTCCTCTGATCTCTCTTATCAACAAGGCATTCCCACCCACAGAACTGTCACTCACTCAATTTTTTCCACCTGTCTGTATAAATGCTAGAGACTCCTGTGTGTGGAAAATCCCAGGAGATCAACAGTTTCTGAAATACTCAAACCTGCCCATCTGGCACCAACAACCATGTCACAGGTAAAGTCACAGAGATCACACTTTTCCCCCATTCTGATGTTTGCTGTGAACATTAACTGAAGCTCTTGACCTGTATTTGCATGATTTTATGCATTGTGATATAAAACTGTTTGAGACCTGTTGTCCATCAGAATGGACATTTAACAGGCAATCAAAGAGCATCACTGGCCCTGTAGAGGAACACGGAGCCTGTAGAGGAACACGGGGACTGTAGAAGAACACGGAGCCTGTAGAGGAACACGGAGCCTGTAGAGGAACACAGGGCATTTAGAGGAACATGGGGCATTTAGAGAAATACGGGGCCTGTAGAAGAACACAGAGCCTGTAGAGGAACACAGAGCCTGTAGAGAAACACAGGGCATTTAGAGAAACACGGGGCCTGTAGAGGAACACGGAGCCTGTAGAGGAACACAGAGCCTGTAGAGGAACACGGGGCCTGTAGAGGAACACAGAGCCTGTAGAGGAACACGGGGCCTGTAGAGGAACACAGAGCCTGTAGAGGAACACGGGGCCTGTAGAGGAACACGGAGCCTGTAGAGGAACACGGGGCCTGTAGAGGAACACGGGGCCTGTAGAGGAACACGGAGCCTGTAGAGGAACACGGAGCCTGTAGAGGAACACGGAGCCTGTAGAGGGCGCTGTGTGTGTTACCGGGGTGTTACACAGACAGCGCGCCTCTTGAACGGAGTCGTCGGAAGACGAGAAGGTCAGAGGTGGCAGGAAGGTGGTGCTTTGGTTCGTCATGGCGTCTCTGAGCTGGTGGTCGTGTGTGCGGTTGTATCGGAGCGTGTCTCCGCTGTGTAGCGGGATGATGAGGATCTCCGGGCCGCGGTGTGTGCTGAGTCCCGGGCGGCGGATCCCCCGAGCCCCGAGCCGCTGGCTGACGGAGAAAGGAGCGTGGGGGAAAACACGAGCACTGGAACAACAACAACACCTGACTGAACTGGACAAGGCGGATGCGCTGGTATGTGCACGGTTTAAATGAATAAATTGCATGAATATACATTCAGTTTCACAGTCGTTATTTTTACCTCTTGCATCTGTAAGATGAAAAAACAGGGTTTAAAGTTCCGTATTTGCTCCTGGTTTTGACCGGCTAGAGGCGCTTGTTGACTAACTTTGGGTTTGTCAGACTGTGTTGCACACTTCTGTACTAATTAGTGTGTCAAAATAGTACGGTCCTGATGGTGTACCATTACCTGCACTGATGACGCCTACTATTTTAACATACTGTTTAGTAGAGTAGTATGTGTTAGGCTGTTCATCACACCTGCATATTTAATAGAGTTGAATTGTGATTGCACTGTTTGGCTTCCTCAAATAATTAAATAGAAGCCTTTGTTTATTGGTTTGTTTGTTTGTTTACTTATTTATTGGTGCATTAATAAAAAAAAAACCCTCTGTTCATATGCAGGCATAAACTTGTTTGTATACTGTAGTGCCTTATTTATGTATGTATGTATGTATTTATTTAGATTATGGTTGCATTCATATTTAGCAACCAGAATCCATAAACCTAAGTAGCAGTATTATGATTCATTCATCTTCAGTAAGCGCTTTGTTCATGGTGGCTCCATGGTGGAGTGGAGCGTATCCGGTGGGCGTGAGGCAGGGACAAACCCT